TTGTAAAAAAATAAAGTTAAAAATGTAGTAACACTTTTTTTTAAAATAAAAAGCGAAAAAGGAAATTAAATTTGTAAAAATAGATATTACTTTTGTAAAAAAAAAGGTTTCAAGAAAAAAACATTTTTAAAGTAAAAAAGTTAAATGTAAATAAAAAAATAAAATAAAAATCAGAAAAGGAATAAATTTGAAAAAAAAATTTTTGCAAAATAAAAAAGTGAAAAGGAAAAAAAATAAATTCGTAAAAATAAAATATTACTTTTGTAAAACCAAAAAAAGGAAATTAAATAAAAAAAAAAAATAAAGTAAAAATACGATAAGGAATAAATTTGAAAAAAAGAAAAAAAAAAAACTTTTGCAAAGTAAAAAGAAAATGTGAATTCACTTTCGTAGAAATAAACGTCAATTTGCGAAAGTTAAAAATAAAATTTATGTTTGTAAAAGGAAAGACATATTAAATCAAAAATTAATAAATTAACTAATAACTTAAAAAAATAGTAAGAATAAGATGAAAAATGAAAACATTGGCTGAAATAAGATTAGATATTGTTAGCGAAATGCTGATTGGTTGTTAAGATTGTATACGTTCGCCAGGGCAGATGTAGAAAGCGTGAAGCGGTTTCGGCATGCTGCAACGTGAAAGAGATGACGTTTGCCTGTTTTCCCCAGCCTATTGACGTCATGGTGATTTTCGCTCCAAACGGAAAAATAACAGGTTTGATAACACGAAGGCTTAGCCGAGCGGTAAAGCGCTAGACTCCCATCCCAGAGATAGCGAGTTCGAATCTTAGCTGTGGAGTTATTTTTAAAATTCCTTAGGGAAAATGATACTAAATTCAATAAAATTAATTAAAACTAATAATTAAAATAATGTCGCACTAAATAATTAAAATACTTATTAAAATGAGTAAATAATTAAAAATTAATGACATATTAAATAATTAAAAACAAGAAAAAATAAAAACTTTGAAAAGATCGTTGCCACACCATAAAAACGAAACTTTGATGATGTCATTCCGCCCACGTCATTCCTTCCATCTACGTCACTTCCGGTTGTCGTGTGATTCAAGATGGCGGCGACCACGCCCCTTTTCTGTGACGTCACTTCCGCCGGCCGGTTACGGGCGCTTACTACTCACGTATCTAAAATCATGAAGAAATATATAATATTCCAAAAAATGAATCCCAAAAATTTTTTAAAGAATTTTTAAGACCAGAGTAATTTACATAAATGAATAATTGTTGAGCAGGCAGGAGACAGATCTTATCAAGGGGAAGTAGCCTCCAAACCTAACTCTTCAATTACTCAATTCGTGTTTCGTCATCCATATAGGCAAAGGTATAGTAATATTCAAAACCAAAAGTAAAACCAAATGTTGTGAATTACTAAAATTGAAATTTAAACTAGTAGGAATTTTGAGAAATTTAGCAAGTAAATTGACTAAAAATTAAAATATTAATTAAATATAAATTGCCAATATAATTAAAAGTAGAAAACCAAACTAATTTAGAAACTCTTGCCTATTGGATTATACGAACAGAGAATGTTTGTTAAATATATATATAACAACAGAGTAACAGAGTGCATATATATATATATATATTACTCGGCTCAGTGAGCTCAGTTTCTTTATTCTTATATGTTTGTAAATGGAGCATTTTTTGCTTTAAAAGTGATTGAATATGCCTTTAGGTTAACCTGAATGCGATAGTTGTGTGATTATCAACAATTTAATAGAAAAGTTTTTTTAAGTGCGGCTAAGCCTAATTTTTGATTATCATGGCGGCCATGTTTGTTTACATTTCAAACTTAGCAGAATAGTGGATTTGTTGCCAATCTAGAGAAACTAAGCTTCGCAACAACAAAGTAACGTCTTCCTTTATTATTGCGATTTAAATTATGCTAAATCCAGTCTGGAATTATCATTTTAAGTTATTAACTTGTTTTTGCATAAAAACTGTAATTTAATCGTAAAATTGTTTTTTTAATTGCTTTAAATGTACTTGGTGTTTTATGTTTTCTTATATCTTTCAAATTTTAATAAAAATATTTTGAATTTTTATGTATTTTTGCCTTGCCGCGAAGTGAGAACTGAATTAATGATTAGCGCATCGGCGCGGAATCATTTGCGAAAAACGTTTTCTTTTCTTTTTTTTTTTTTCTTTTTTTTTCTTTTTTTTTTTTTTTTTTTTTTTTTTTTTTTTGTGTGTGTGTGTAGAGACATTAGGATATATTTTTAAAGCACGAGTGATGAAAAATGAGCAACGCCTTCGCCGGAAATCGAACCACGGAGCTCTAGAATAGCGTCCAGACCTCTAGCTTGCAGCCATTGTACCACGAAAGCACGCTAAGAAGGCGGGGAGAAATACCTTTTTGAAGGTATCCTGGGTGAGGAGAATCATCATCCTCCACCCTTTTAGTTCGGGAGCCACTGTAGAGACATTGGGATGTATTTTTAATAGCAGGAGTGATGAAAAATGAGCAACGCCTTCGCCGGGAATCAAACCAAAGACCTCTGGATTTTGCGTCCAGCGTGCAGACGACCACACCACGAAGGCACGCTAAGAAGGAGGAAGAAATACCTTACATTTGTTTACGATATAATTTTTGTGCAATTTGAGTTATAAAATGAATGAGATGTAACGCTGTTAAGTGAATCTAGCGCCGATGTGTCGCTATGGTACATAAATATAGTGAACTTTAAACAGTGCATTTATTATATTATGGTTTATGCGCTATCGACGAAGTAGATTTAATTCAACATTCGTTAACTGTTAATTCAATAAGTTTAAATGAAACGCAGCGAAAAATGCGTATAATTTAATATCGCCTGCAAGGAAGTCATGTGATATACACATCAAAATTTTTAAGAATATTTTAATTCGAATGAACCACATAGTACGGATGGTGGTGTCCACGCCCGCACACCTACGATGTGCATTAAAATGTGTAAAAAACAAACACGCCGAAGTCCGAGCATGCTTCTAAAAACTTCTCAAATACGTCTTTAGGTTTAGTCGCAAGAATTCTCTCGTGAAGTTCCACCTTCATGTGCACAGTTGACCAAAAGGGATTCGGACACAATGATAAAATAAGCACTGAAAAACGACAAATATTTGATGGTACTCAAAAACAAAGTAAAAATATTTATTGACTTTTTTCAGAGGTCAAAACATACATAATATGCACGAAAATTGATATTTTGGATTATCCGCGTTTTTCAGTTATCCGTGGTATTCGCTCGGATAATTAACAGCAGATATTATTAACACCTTTTCAGGACATGTGACAATCCTAATCGCTCTTTCTGCGTGATTCATCAATTCATTTTTACATTATTTTGTGGGACGACAGATTTTCTTCTAATCAGATGAGATATAGCGAACCAAACACTTAGTTCCTTGAATGTCGTTACAACCATGAAAGTCAGGGCTGATAATTCTTTCTCTGTGTTCATCAGTTAATTTTTTGCACTATTTTATGAGACGATTCATTTTCTTCTAATCAGATCGGATATAGCGAACCAAACACTCAGTTCCTTTAATTTCGTTACAGCGGGGTTGGATGTTACAGCAATGCTCGTCAGAGCTGATAATTCCTTCCGTGTTATTCATCAATTATTTTTTATATTATTTTGTGAGACGACGGATTTTCTTCTTATCAGATCGGATACAGCGAACACTCTATCTAATCAGATCGGATATAGCATTCAGTTTCTTGAATATCGCTATAGCAGAGCTTGTCAGGGCTGATCATTCTTTCTGTGTGATTCATCAGTTAATTTTTGCACTATTTTATGAGCCTATGCATTTTCTTCTAAACAGATCGGATATAGCGAACCAAACACTTAGTTCCTTGAGTATCGTCATAGCGGAGTTGGACGTTATAGCAGAGCTCGTCAGGGCTGATCAGTCCTTCTGGGTGATTCATCAATTATTTTTTACATTATTTTGTGAGACGACGGATTTCCTTCTTATCAGATCGGATACAGCGAACACTCTATTTAATCAGATCGGATGTAGCACTCAGTTCCTTGAATATCGTTATAGCGGAGTTGGACGTCATAGCAGAGCTCGTCGGGGCTGAACATTCTGTCTGCGTGATTCATCAGTTAATTTTTGTACTATTTTGTGAGACGATGCATTTTCTTCTAATCAGATCCGATATAGGGAACCAAACACTCAGTTCCTTGAATATCGTTATAGCGAGGTTGGACGCTATAGCAGAGATTGTCAGCGCTGATAATTTTTTCTGTGTGTTCATCAGTTAATTTTTGCACTATTTTGTGAGACGATGCATTTTCTTCTAATCAGATCGGATACAGCGAACTTAAACCCTCGGTTCCTTGAAGTTCGTTGTAGAGGGGCTATAGTGTATTTAAAAATAATTATATTAATCGCAATGTAATTATTTTTAAATACACATAATTATATCATATATGTAGAATTTGACTTGATTCACAGCATGAGAGCACGAAGTAATATTTAAATGGTTTATTTAATAGAAAGAAATAAAAGTATATAAAGAAAAGTATATAAAGATGAAGTTAACGGTATGCAGGATTAACATAATGATGTAAAGGCATAACATCGAAAGCACAATTAAAGTTCATAAACTCTTGAAGACGTGTGAGCCGTCTGCTCACGTCTGCCTTCCACTCTCGACCAGGTCTCAGCGCTGTCTGGGATGATTCTTACTGCGCTGGGTGATGCTATACTGATGACGTCATAACGGGCAATTCTCATTCAGCATTGGACGGTATGATTTCCCACATATATATTATATGAATAATTATATTAAATACATAATTATATTTTATTGTATTTAAAAATAATTATATTACTATTTATTGTAGTATTATAATATATTATAATTATTAATAATTAATATAATTAAATAATTATATTAATTAGTAATAATTATTATAATATTATTAATTTATATTACTCGTCATCTCATCTCTAACATTATTAAAATGCATTTGTATTTCCTAGGTTCTGGGAAGACGACACTACTGAATGCATTAAGCGGTCGAATGAAAGCTGACAATGGAATAATCACACTCAACGGCGAATTGCTGAACAAAGAGCTGCGCAGGCGCATCTGCTACGTCCTGCAGCAGGACATCTTTATGCCAAATCTTACACTCCGCCAGACTTTAAAAGTGAGTTGCTCGCCTTTTTTTTTTTCTGTCTCGAAACAGTATTCCAACAAGAATACATATCAATATTAATATTACAATCTATATATATAAAGAAGAAAGTTTGTGTGTTTGTTCTGTAATAACTCAGTCACTACTACAGCTATCGTCGCCAAACTTTCTACGCTTCTTTTTTTGGTTCCTAGCAAAGGTCGGCGCCCACTTTTTTCCAAAAATGAGTAGCTAAAATGAGAGGTATTAATTAAAAAATAGAGAAACAATAATTTTCTCCCTCATTTTTCCCAGTGGCACCAGTCTCGCCAGTGGAGATGAAAATCTCCTTTATTTCGAAAGTTGTTGCCACTGCTCGCTTTCAAATCATAATGTTTGTTAATAAAAAATTTCCAAATTTTACAATGAAAACAAACAAAAAAAAAAAAAAAAAAAAAAAAAAAAAAAAGAGTATTGCCAAACATTAAATACATTATTCCAGATTCCAAAAATTCTTGGGAAGCCATTTCGACTGTTCGTACATAAGTGAAATATTGGATTGAACTTAAGCTTTTACTACCATTTGATTAGAAAGACGAAAATCATTAAAAACTGCCTGGCATTTTTTGCTGATATAATGAGAAAGAATTAGCTTATTTTTCTATGGAAATTTTTTATGTGGATTTCACATCGTGCGAGACTGAAAAATTTCTGACTATGAATCGGAATTTTTGCATTTATTAGAGCAGGATTACAGCGGTAGCGTTCTCTCTGTTGTTAGATGCATTACTCTCAATCTATGTTAACTAACTAAAAAAAAGTCGAGTACTTCTGCTAGTACCTAATAAAATAGTTTCATTTCTTACTCCCTATAATTTGAATCTCGCCCATTCATATTATTATTTCTTCAATTCCTTTGGCCTCAAATCATCCATAATTATTTAGGCAAGCCGAAATGTGCAGTGGGCTCGTCAAAATCGTAAACGGAACGTCGGTTTGCATTTGCTTCGTCGTGAATGTATCGGTTTTCGTATTAGGCTGGCATAAAGTTCAACAGTTGACTTTTGCAGATTCGTCTTTGTTAGTTAGATGAAAACAATCATTAGATGGACGAATTTTAAATCATTCTCTGAACACATTGAGGCCGGGGAAAATGGCGCGAGAATTTTAAATATCGTTTGAAAAGTTTTGGTTTTAACATTTTCTAAATTCTTTGTAGCATTTATAGGTTTATTTGAAAATTATTAATTATGAATTTCAGTTTTTAGTCTTTGTGAAAATTAGCTCTAAATTTCTTACTTTATGCCTTTACTGATAATTTTTCATCAGCTTAATAAGCGAAAATACTAGGCAATTTTATATTTGGTTTAAAAAATTGTTTTGTAATGATGGCATATATTGTGATATACTGGGTGTACCGTAAATGTTGCGACTAAGTTCTACGGCGGGTAGAGCACATCATAAAGATTAAGAAATAAACAGGAAACTATTTCCCGGAAATGTCAGGGGTACGTGGTAGCAGAGGTAGAAGAGGGAAAGCAACAAAAGTGATTCATTTGAAACCTTTATTGGACATGAATACAAATGGTGTACGACAGCTTGAAAGTTACAACAGATGTTCGAAGTTTGTACCATCAGACGCCAAAATGCCGGACAACGAAGGACCATTTGAATGCCACGAATCATTTGATCTTTCTACACCAGGTTCTTTCCGATTTGCTTGACGATGTTCCACCAAATATGAGGCGCAACATATGATTCCAACATGAGGGGGCACCTGCTCATTTTGGACTGGATGTTCGTAGCCATATGAACAGATCTTGATTTTTTTTTTTTTTTTTTTTTTTTTTTTTTTTTTTTTTTTTGGTGGGAAGCCATCAAAAGTGTTGTAACCCTATTGTGTCTGAAATGGATCTTGTGGCAAGACTCGCCTGCGCAGCTGCTACAATAAGAGAAACTACCGGTGTGTTTGAACATGTCCGGCAATCGATGGTCCGTCGTTGTTGGGCATGTTTGACGTCTGATGGTGCAAACTTCGAGCATCTGCTGTAACATTCAAGCTGTCGTACACCATGTTTCCATGTTCAATAAATGTTTCAGATTAATCGCTCTTGTTTCTTTTCCCATCTTCCACCTCTGCTGCCACTTACCCCTGACACTTCCGGCCATGGGGTTTTATGAAATTCTTAATTCTTGCGATGTGCCCTACCTCCGCTAGAAGTCTGTCGCAACATTTACGGGACACACTGTATAGGCATATCCATAGATATATATTGTGATATAACCCATAATCCCTCATATTTTTAATGTGTAATATTTCACGGCCTGTAAAAAATCAACATTCCTATTATTTAACGTTTTACAGTTCTGTGCTTTGCTACGACTGCCAGCCTGTATGACGGAAAGAGAGAAGCTGGATTACGTCGACCACCTCGCTCAAGTCCTGGACTTGCGACACTGTCTCGACACTCGTAAGTCTCCACTCGCATTATATACAAATTCCTCTCGTGTGGTTTGGTGGAAGGGGAGAGGGGTGGGAAACCCTCGGACCCGTGAGCCGCATAGCCATGTCATACTGGGACATCCCGCCCACATAGATCTGACAAAGAATATTTCTATGACCTATAAACCTGTCTCACACAACAAAACTGTAATATATACGGACGACTCACGCACGGAATTAGGGACCGGAAGTGCTTACTGTGCCGTACAAAACAATCAGCTACTAAATACTTGGACTAGAGGACTGAATATCAATAACACGGTTTTTCAAGCTGAACTGTCAGCACTGAAAGCAGCCATCAAACTAGCTACCAATCTGAGAATCGACAGTGCAGTGATATTTAGAGATTCAGCCCCCAGTCTTTCGGCAATACAAGAACAAAATAATTAAAGCGAGCTAGTGAACAACGCCTGCTAACAAACTGACAACTGCACCAAAGACCTACGCTCTGCTGGGGCCCAGCACACGTTGGCGTTCAGGGTAATGAGCAAGCAGACGAACCAGCGAAACAAACTGCGAACAATATCTCACAACAGGAATACCCGATAAAACTAGCAGCATCATATCTGGAAAAAAAAAATCGCATCAGCAAAACTGAAAACAATGTGACAGAACAAATGGGCTGAGGACACAACAGGACGCAGAGCGTTTAAATTTTATCCAAAAGTAAACTTCAAGCTTAAAACTTGCAATAGCTACATAACTCAATTTCTTACGGGGCACGGCCCTTTTCCGAGTTATCTTAAGAGATTTAATCTCCATACCTCGGATAACTACAGCTGCGGTGAAGTTGGGGATCCAGATCATTTCCTGTTTCACTGCAGTAATACTTCTCAAACACATTTGAAAAAAAAACCGAGGAAAATAACTGGCACTTGTAATTTGAAAATTTATTAGAAAATAAAACCACATTTAACAAACTTTCACAGACCATTAAAGTATTTGTGCATCAGAATATGCCGGTTGAGACTAAACTCTTTCTGCCTTTCTTTTCTTGGTCAAACCTGTTACCTATATATTTTATCAGAAATTCTGTTGTAGAATCCCGAATGAGTATTATTTTACTGTATCTGTATAATATATTCTTAATAACGTTTATAATACTGTGATTGTGTTAGTACTAAAATACTAATACTAATTTACTAATTCCCCCCTAAAAACACATCTAGAGTTATTAATCTAATCACATCTAGTGTTAGTTGATCAATCAAATCATTTTATATTTTGTTTGATTCCCTAGTTTTCAATATTATTTATATATATATTAATATTACGTCTAATTTATAACTAGAAATTATTTTGTTCTATATTTAATTATTGGGTTCATACCTTCATTGTGCATATTGTGTCTATGTAATCAGTAGCATATCTGTTGTATTTTAAGGAATGTATAGTAATATATTTTCCTTATTTTTTATTTATTTCGTTTGTTTGTTTGTTTTGTTTTAAAGAAAGTAGAAAGTAGATGTTATCCTCTACAAGTCCTATAGGCAAATTTATTATTCTCTGTTCAACAATTATGTAACTTCTAATGTTATGTAGCTATAGTTTTATAATAAGTGCATTTAATTTTGGTCATTTGAATATATTGATTTTAATCGATTCTTTTGCAACTATTAGTTTATATAAAAGTGTGAATCTGATATTTAATTCATAACAGGATCTATTAACTTTGTGCATTTGTAAATTTTGTATTTAATTAATAATGTGCTCTGTTAACCCTTTTGCGGGATAACGGGATTTGTTAACCCTGTGCAATTGTAAATTTCGTATTTAATTAATAACGTGCTATGTTAACCCTTTTGCAAAGTAACCTCTAGAAACTGTTTAGTAAAATGAATCTTAGCAATTTCCACCAAACAGGAAATTTAACTGCTAAGTAAATCATAACAAATAGCTGTATTTAACATCCTAGCATTGAGAAGGTATTGTATTATAATGTAAAAATTTCTATGTAAAACTGTATGTATATGTGGCGCTGTCACCTTTTGGAGAATTGTTAAAAATGCCATCCTGCCTGCCACGGATAGCAGATTTTAGATGGAATCTGCCAACATGATAATTAGACCGAGAGACTTGTTAAGTCCTAGGGTCGGTCGTCATATTGGTAGTGTTTCCGGGGTGGTCTCCATCAAAATCGCACTGTCACCTGTTAAGTTCTCAAAGCTGTTGCCAACGACAGAAGTAATCTTCCTGTCATATAAATCAAATGAATCCTCACAAAGGAACCGCAAATTTCATTAGCAGAAGAGAAAAATTATCCGAAAGTTAAATTTCTAAAACGACAATATAGTTAATAATTTAGTCAGATCAAGTGAAATCAGATCACGTTTGTCCAAAAAAACTGTCCTTGATCATCGTATTTGAAAGTTAATTAAGGTTATTTACATTTTAACTGCACAGTTAATACAGAAGTTTTTTTTCCCTTTTAGGTATGGGTGACACCATGAAAAGAGGATTGTCCGGAGGGGAGAAAAAGAGAGCCAATATCGCTTGCGAGTTGCTCACAAATCCCTCACTTCTGCTGATCGATGTGAGAAAATTAGAATTACAGGGAGTGCTTACACATTTTTAGAATGATTTCGATAATAAATTTTAAAAAAATAAATGATTTGGATTTAAATTTCTGGAAAGAGCTTATTATCTGAAATTAGAAATATCGCCTGCTGTTTTTAAATTTATATTCTATTAATATGTGGCATGTAAACAAACTGTGGATTGAAGGATATGTTTTTTTGCGCTTTCCAAAGAGAAATATTCCTTTCCACCATTCAGAAACGTTGTGAAACTATGCTATTAAAATCTTAAGCGAAATATAAGCAGCATTACTAATCGGAAAGGGAAAAACCGTCAGTGATGATTTCTACCTGGAAAGAAGGTGCGGAACGAATATCTGAACATGGTACGCACTGTATCTAAAGTTAATTGTTAGTAAAAAAAAAGAAAATTCGAAGCAGAAATCAATTGAAAATTATTTAAATACATCCGTGACAACAATAAATAAAGTTATAAACCGAGATTTACTGTTTAGAGAAACTAAAGAAAGTTGAGATCCTGGATGAAGCATGATTAGCGTATGAAGCATGATAAAATGACTGCAACAAAAAAAGACAACATTATTTATTATCGAAAGAGAAGAGAAACAACAAAATTTACACGGCGGGAAAAAAAAAAAAAAAAAAAAAAAAAAAAAAAAAATGGAGAAGAAAAGAGAGAGAGAGAAGAAGAAGAACGAAACACAGTTTTTTGCATCCCGTTCTACTGGGCCGATTGACGAAATTCAATTTGCGATTTTCATATTTCGAAAGCGTGACTTAGGATATGTATTAAGACTTACAAATAGCACTGTTCTAATATACGTATTTTGACACAAAATCGGACTTTTTCAGAAATAACATGCCAACTTTCTTCCATATTTCGATTCTACGACTCAAATTATGCCAAACTGCTCAGTTTTGCAAAACTCGCACGAGTAGTTTTTAGAAAATTAGCTCTCAAAATTTTAGCTCCTCTATGTTAATTGAATAATATTCATATCTCTTTTTTTATTGAACTTACCTTTTCCAGAATTCGAAATTTAGATTCATTCTAAATAAAATTCGCCCGTTTTTATGATTTATTTTTAAAATTTGTATTCTTAAATAATTTTTATAAATTTTTCGAAAAAAAATTTTAAATTATAACATATACAATTTTTAACATTATCTTAAAGTAGACGCACAAATGCAAAAAATTTTTTATTCAAAATTTTATGAGATATACATGAATTTATATACTGGTGCGTTTTGAAATTTGACATATTTGTTATAAGCAGTAATAACGCCAAATGTGGCTTACGCACTTCGTTAAAATTATTTGTAAGTACGAACGATGACTTTTTAAACCGCTCGTCTGCAATTTAAAAAAAAAAAAAAAAAAAAAAAAAAAAAAAAAGGAAAAGGAAATAGGTTGCTGTAAATTAAGGATTTCGCCAAGTGAATTATTCTTGGCACAAACTGAAAAAAAATGCTCGAAGATAAATTTTTGAATTTCTCCGTAAATTTCAAAACCAAATTTTATAAAAATTTAACAGTTAGGCATAATTTGAGCCGTAGAATCGAAATATAGAAAAAAAAAAGCGGCACGTCATTTTAAAACAAGTCCGATTTTGTGTCAAAATACCAAAATTGTGTATTGGAACAATGCTATATATAAATCTAAATTTAAACAAATTTAAATTTTAACAAACATGTATATACGTAAAAAAGCAAATTTAAGGTTTTAAGGTTAAAATAATTAAAAAATGTGCAAACATATAAAAGATTTAATTTTCGAACTAATCTACAATATCATTTAAATTCAAATAGCATAAGCAAATCAAGTGCAAAACCAAACTATGAAAATAAATTCACCAATTTAGCAAATTAAAATTAATCTAAAAAAATTTTTTAAATGCATAAGTGAATGACTGTTGAGCAGGCAGGAGACAGACTTATCAAGGGGATGTTGCCTCCAAACCTAACACTCCAATCATTCAATTCGTGTTTCGTCATTCATGCAGGCAAGGGTAAAAGTCAAAACCAAAAGTAAAGAGTGAAGAATGTCCAAAAAGAAATACCAATAAAGTGGTACCTTTAGAAATTATCAATTAAAAATTAAAGTTCTAAAAGGAAAATAACAATGAAGTTTTTTGAGAAATAAGCAATGTAAAGTCAAGTATTCAATTAAACTTTAAAAAAAAAAATTTTTTTCAGAAAAATTAATTTAGAAACCAATGCATTTTAGAAATCCTTGTCTACAGAAACCTCCCCGACACGAATATGCATATCAATAAAAAGAAGCTAAAAAGGAACTAGACATAATTTATATAAACCATAAGAAACGAAAAGAACTAATTCATAATTTTAAAAAAACAAATATATACATAAAAATATAATTTCATATCTAGAAAATACTTAAATACTACATAAAAAAATATTTAAATACTTAAAGCAAGTAAATAGTAAGTTTTAATTCTAACTTACCTACTATATTAGTGTTGGGGTCTGCAAAAGTATTTTCAAAGTGATGTAAGTGTGTTCTTCAAATTATATAGATGGCGCTTATGTAAGTAAAGTTGAGTGCCAAGCTGCTATCTATGTTATATTAAAAATTTTTTGCAAACTTTAATATAAATATTTAAATATAAATCTAGAAAAAATTAAATATCCTAAAAGTATGTAATTCAAGTTTTAATTTTAACTGATCAACTATTTATGGTAGGGAGTTAAGTAGCTGAGCCAATCAAGAGATGTAAGTTTGCTTTGTAAATATTATAAAAAGAGTACTAATTGAAGTAAAGTAGAGTTACGTGGTTATTGTGAATTAGTAAATGTAAACTGTTTGTAATGTGGAATGTGTGTTCTATTGCAAAAATGTGTAATATACATCGTAAGTCGCGCTTTTGGGACATGAAAAACACAATCTGAATTTCGTCAATCCGACTAGTTAGTAGAACGGGAGACCCCCTCCTTTTTTTGTTGAGTGTACAAACTTGATTGCGGCGATGCAAAGAAAGTTTCACTGAAGGGTTTATGATGATTGTCGCAAGATTCTTTTACAACGGGAAAATAATCAAGTAAGGAGAGCGGGGAAAAATGTTAAAATCACCCCAACATACTATCAAGAGAAAGTTTTACGTCCGATATTCACAGAAGAAATTCCATTTCTTTAACCCAATAACTTCCAAACAGTGAAACTTCATCATGACGAAGTAACAAGTCATATTTCGAAAAGTAACACTGTGTTCTTTGAGAAAATGAAGAGTGATACAGATAACGCACATATACTTTTTAATGTATGCCTGCGATGTCTCCTGACGTTTCACACATGGATTATTCTCTTTTGGTCTCTCCAAAAAAGCTCTTTCTAAGTGCAAACCCACCACAGTGGATAGACTCTAGAAAGTAATGGTAGAAGAAGAGAAATCATACCCCGGAAAATTTTACGAAATGCGCTTCGATCATAGAGATCACAATACAGACTTACAGTCCATAAACATCAAAGAAATATTCTTAACATTTCAAACATTAATTAAAAATGGCTCCGAACGAAAATCGTTCTAAAAACATGTAAACACCCTCTATATTGTTCTTTCGAAAGTGGGTATAATGCATAGCTATTATCTAGGTACTTGTGTATTATTGCAACAACTTTGGCACAGTTTGGCAAATTTTACGAAAAAAAAAGACAATTAATATTTTTTTGTAAGAAACTATGTGTAGCATGCGTGTTATTACAGTAAATGCACGTCGCATAGCGTGGTCGCCGCAAATGTTACCATTCATTTTTTTAGAACATTATTATAATATATTATACAGTATATTGTTACCGAATTGCTCAAATTCCGCCCGTTTGTATACGAAAATATGGAAAACACGTCCCTAGCCGGAATCCACATATGAAGCCCTCTTTTTGTTTTGTTTTCGCTTTCTGTGTTTTGCGAATATCTGTTTTCGGAGTTACCATGTCCACAGGGTTCGTATGGTCCTTAAGAGTCCGTAGGTTTTTCTGAAAAAGTCCTTAATTTCGCCCCAAATCGCAAAAGGTCCTTAATTTGAATCCTCTGAAATTTCTGTCTGTTTTTACGACTGTCGTTTTGAGTGTGAATAATCATTTTGGAGGAATATTTTCGGCGATTCACTGACAAATAGTGTTATAATATGAATGGGTGCATGGGTTATAATGTGTTCCTATTTCTAATATAAACGGTGAGATACTCCAGTTTCTGGGGAAGAAATAAAAAATAATCTGTTGACGCTAGAGGCGTCATCTCTGAAAAATATGTAATACTTTGTGTTTTAAAGAGATGACGCAAATGTTTGTTTATAGCACCACTTTGCGGCCACTTGTTATCGAGTTTTGAGTTGTAGAGACATTAGGTAATTTCGAAGCAGGAGAGATAAAAAATGAGCAACGCCTTTGCCGGGAATCGAACCACGGACCTCTGGAATACGCGCCCAGCGTGTAGACCACTACACTACGAAGGCATGCTAAGAAGGCGGGAGAAATACCTTATATACTCGACTTTCTAAAGGGCAATTGGGGTTTTAGGGGACCCAATTGCCAAATCCCGGTGGTGAAGAATCATCATTTACCATCTTTTTAGTTCGGGCGCCAATGTAGTGACATTAAGGTTTTTTGGAAGCAGGAGTGATGAAAAATGAGCAAAGCAACGCCCTCGCCGGGAATCGAACCACGGACTTCTGGAATACGCGCCCAGCGTGCAGACCACTACACCACGAAGGCACGCTAAGAAGGCTAGATAGAGAAATACCTTATAGAGTGTGTTCTGAGACGCCGCCAAGAGATGTGATTTAAGTATGCGGCTTTTTGAATCATTAATAAATTTTCATATACAGTCCATTTTTGAGTTCATATGTAAAGTGATTTATTTAATTATGAGTTTAACGGAGCTATCGACGGGTTTATAAGCATTCCGAAACTATGTCATTTTTTCTAACGAAGAGCTTTTAAGCAACTTTTCTCTTTTGGGGATGTAAATTCTTTTATTAAACGGTTCTTAATTTGGCGACTTATCATTATTTTGGCGGTTTTAAGATCAATATCTATCGAAAATTTTTAATTCCGAGATATCTGTGAATTTTTCGACAACTTTTTAGAACATTATAATATTAATAAATTTGATCAAAATGATGATAATATACGCGATATGATAATATAGTGAAACTTTCGAAATTATTTCATTTTTTCTAATGAAGAGCTCTTGAACAAATTTGCGCTTTTAGGGATGTGAATTCTTTTATTAAACGATTATAAATTTGGTGATTTTAAGATCACTTTCTATAAAAAAATTTAATTCAGAGATCTAGGAATTTTTGGCGATTTTTTAAACGTTATAACATTGATAGATTTCACTAAAATAATGGTAGTATATCGAAATTATATTTAAGAAATAGGACTAAAATAAAACATTTTTATTTTTCGCTGCAATATTATAAAGTGAAATTACTTTCCATTTTGGTGACTTATTATACAGTATATTGAATCTGAAAAATAAACAAGGTAATAAAAGCCATAAAGCATAATTTACGAAAGAATCGAAACAATTCGTAGCAAAAGCAAAAGAGCTATATAATTAATTTAAAATGTCTTCTTTTTAATTTTTTCCCATGTAATTGTCTCGGAATATTCAGAATTCACAGAATATGCATCCGTTTTTCTCTAAAAAAATTAATTTTACACTTTCTCTTTCTCTCTTTCTTTTTTTTAAGCCTAAAGGGTTTATCGTTACCAAAAATGTAAGGCCAAATTTTAAGAATCTGCCTAATTCTGGCAACCACACATATAAACAATTTTCCGGTAAATATGCTTATAACAATCCTTCAGTCGAGCAATCGTCGCCATTTTTCCATGCATTCGTTTAGCTGTATTCCAAATTCGAACGGTTTTTATAAACAAACCGTATTAACTTTTTCCTGTGAATTTAATTTCAAAATGTGTATTTTTGGAATTTCCCAGCAATGGAAATTTTGGTTTCGTTTGGTTTATGTGATTACGGCTAAGTTACGAGCGCTACCTGCCTAAGGGGAAGGATGCCTTCGTGGAGGACTTTCTAAAAGAAACTTGCTCGTATACACGTTACACATGAGAAAAACCACGAAAACGACCATTTAGCCAGCTCGTTTTCGCGATTCGAACCTCGGACCTAGCTACTAGTGTTCAGTGACTTTAAAGTTCGGCCGCTGGTAACCCTGGAAATTTTGGAATTTACTAGCTATCTGTCTAAGGGGAGAGATGCCTTTGTAGACAAACTTTTAGGAGAAAATGGCTCGTATACACGTTACACATAGGAAAAACCATTAAAACACCCATGCAGCTAGCCCATTCGAGGGATTTGAACCTAGGACCGAACAACCAGTGTTCAGCGGGAGGGGGAGGGGAGGTATCACGTTATTCTTATTTAACAATTAAAAAATGTATTTTAAAACTTCTAACGCACGTTGACTTTTCGTATGTTAATTTTGTTTGCGGACTTCGATAGTTTAGGAATCTTTTTTAAAAATGTGGCGATAATCACCCGTTTGCATCCGATAAGCAAATTTACATTTTTGATCTGTAAAAAATAGCCAAATTGCGCCAAAGTGGTCGGCTTTAATACGTAAGTACAGAAAGACTTTTTGCTCAATTCATGTTGTATTTTCAGGAACCAACGACGGGGCTCGACTCCAGTGCTGCGTATTCACTGATGATGATGCTGAAACAGTATGCCGCAGAGGAAAGGAAGACTGTAGTGGTTACAGTGCACCAGCCATCCAGTCAGATATTCCACACGTTCGACAGGATACTGCTTCTTTGCAGAGGACAGGTAAGAGCAATGCTAGGCAAATATATCCTTAACCGCAGAGGCCGAAACAGTTTTTTAAGCCCAAAGAGATGTTAGCCCAGAAAAGCATAAATGTCAAGAGGTATAGCCATGAGGCATAAAATACCGGAATTCCGGAGTTTCGTTCACACCTGCGAGACAGAGTCTAAGCCGTAGCTAATTAAAGATCAATTTGCTCATGCGTGGATGTGTCTACAGCTTTCCCGCCCTGCTTTCCTCTTCAGGTTTCGCGCGTTCGCTCTGATTGGTCGACGCTTATACCAAGTCGATACAAAGTCGGAAATTTCGAACTTTATATCAAAGCACGGGACACACAGGCAGTTATAGGGGCTGTACAAAATTCCCAAAACTTGTTAAGAATATTTCATCAGAGAATTCTAGCAATAACAGTAACGAAGTAAAAAATAGTACGAAATCCATCCATGTTACAACTGGAATATCTTATGCGAATATTACTCAAAGTAGAAACACCGTTAAAAACAACACACAAAATCCTAAGACTGATGTTAAGAAAGCAGGCGAAAAGCAGTAAAAATCCAAAGACTTAGGGGTAAATGCTTTCACAGACATATTCAAATTAATTAAGACACAATAACACGCCGAATAAATACTGATTCAGAAGTCAAACAACAAAAATCAGCGTTAATTCACAAAATTTTCACAGGACTAGTTTCGATGGTTTTACCAAACCATCATCTTCAGCTGCAAAACCGCAAATGAACAAGATAGGAAATAATGTTTAGATAAGATAAGAAAGCCTGGACAAGAATAAGCAAGTGGCGCCATCTGTTGGCGAAACCAGAACTAAAACATAATTTCTCTAAAAGCCGAAGGCAAATTTGGATTGGAATTAGGATCGTTAACTAGAACAGAAAGATTTTTATGAATGTGAAATGCCTCTAGAAAATCCAGTTTTCCAATGGAAGATGTTTTTTGAATAATTTTGGCAACAGAAAAATTGAAAGTGTGATTTTCGGACCAACAATGTTGAGCAACAGAAGACTTCTGTGTTTCCTTTTTTCTAACATATGCCTCATGTTCTTTGACGCGAAATTTTAAGGCTCTCTTTGGCCAATGTAAATTAAACCGCACTGGCAAGGAATCCTATAAATACCCCAGGAATTCATATCCGGAATGGGTCCTTGAGTATAGAAGTTGGAATTTTATTGATGGGGAGAGTAAACAACCCGAAAGTTAAATTTCTGCAAAATATGTGCAACTATATTCAAATAAAATATATTCAAATAAAAATATATTCAAATTAGTTAAGGAATGCAAAATATATTCAAATTAGTTAAGGAAATATACGATATGTTCAAAGGCTTCTTCCTAGCTAGTATTTTCCAAAAAAATTCAGCCAAAATTCTCGAAATTCTGTCTGCAGATAATCCTATTGACAAAATGTTCATTTTATTTAACCTATTTGAGGAAATTTTCATGAGCAACACTAATTAATAATGTCCAAATCATAAAACTTAGAAAATCTCTTTTATATTAAAAAAATTGTTATATACCCTTATCTGTATTATATTCTAGTATCTTATTTAATGTTCACATATCCTCGATTGAACTGCTTACTCTTCCATTTACAATTATTAAAACGCATGTCTGCGATGTTATCGTCATGCGATGCATTTGTAGGTACTTTATTTTTTACCACGATAAAACGGTCGGTCGACGGTGTTTATAAACAGCAAAGTTTTTGAAGCGTTTTATTTTCGATGACGATGTTTTGTGCCACGATGTTTTATAACTGCGACGTTTTCTCTTTGCTTTATTTTCTCCCACGATGTTTTGTACCCCGACGTTTTCACCTTACGTTGTTTTCTCCGCGACATTTTCGTCCGCATGTATTTTTGCGGCGATGTTTTCGGCGGACACCGGTGCAGTGCTGCCAGAAAATTTTCAACTAAAGTACCAAAAGGAGACCAAAAAAGGTCGCAAAAAATCGAAAATGACGTCAGAGATCACGTGATTTTTGTGACGTCATAGTTACGCAGGCTCACATAACATGGACCTTATAAGAAATAGACTAACCAAAACGGGTTTTCTCCCTCGTCTGAGGCGTTCCCGGCTGTCACCTTGATCACATCCGGAGGAGTAGGGACGACTTGCAGAAATTTAACAGTGGTTGCCTATTGCAGCGTGAATAATTATCAAGAAAGCTGGTTGTAGCGCCTCATTTCACAAATTAGAATTTCTACATATTTTTATTTTTTGAATTTGAGATTGATTTTTAAAAATTTAGCATATTTATCAAGCATAATTAACGTTCTTTATAAAGCTATTGCATGCTTTCAGGGCTGGATATTTTTTTAGCTTTTTCCTATGCTGTAAGGAAGTTTGTAACTACTTTTAGAAATAATATTTTAAATCTGAACCAATTGAAAATTTAAAACAAGCAAATTTCTCTTGCAATTTTTATGCTTTTTATTGGTGTAAATAAGTAAAAAATACTAAAATATTTAAAAACGAATTTTTAAGATTTGTTTAAAATTCTAAATTGTGCTGCTTTTTTAAAATTATAGATGAGTATTATAGCACAATTTCTATAAAGGAATTTTATTTCAACTGTATTTCATAATACACCATAGTGATAAACACTTTTGACTCCTTAAACATTTTTATACATTTAATTCTAAATTACAATTGTATTTAACCGTAATAATTAATTGTGCTTGTATTTTATAAGTGGATTATTTTTTTAAATTTATTTTTAGTTCTGCATAAGATTTTCTGATTTATAGTGAATTTACTGTTAATGGTAGCCCAAAGGGGCGGTAGCCTAAAAAGGCTGTTAGTTTCGAAGCGGCATTTTGCGCTGTTTTACTATAAATGTCCGTGTTTTCACTTTGCAAATTGTTGTTACCAAATATTATTGCCCTGTATTATATTTAAAGAAATTAAATAATGAAGAATCCGCATGAATACATGTATATTTCTCGCACTGTGACAAAAACGACAGTATCTTGAGCCATCCAGTTTTGAATAATGTAATCCTCCACCCGAATATGGGCATCTGGACGGCCGAATTTCGAATTTATTTTAATCTGTTTCCTATTTTGTAAAACTTTAACGAATTTTTGATTAACAAACTCAACGAGTTCAGAGCGAGCACTGTACGGAAAATAACAGTTTTATCTCCAGTGCGGAAATTCTAAAGATATGCTGTTTTCAAATGCATGTGGTTTACGGGCGAAGAACAGGATATTCAGAAAATATAGGTAACACACAAAACATTAAAAAAAGGTTCCTTTTGGGCGTAATATAAAATCTGAGTGCTTCTAGATTTTATTTTACCTTTTTTTTTTTTCCTCTTCATTACACTCAGAAAATTTTATGCTCCGAATTTTATAAATTACTAAAATAAATATTCCAATTTAATGTTAATAAGTTAATGATGATATAATCAAATAAGTGATTGTTTTGTAATGTTATTATAGTTTTGAAAATCACTGTCTCAAAATGGTCATTAAATTAAAAAAAAAAAAATTATCAGATCTTGTTTAATTTTACCTTATTTATTTCAAAGCATCACGTACTATCACGTAAAATCTATTTAATTTTACGTTATTTGTACGCAAAATTAAGTTCATAAATTTTGTGCTTAGAGTTTTTACCGTTTTACCAAAGTAAAGATGTTTGTACGAGAATTACACGTGTACATTTTGTACGTGAAAAAAATGCGCGAAATGCAGTAAAAACTGCTTTAATGAGATGGATTAAATCCTATTTGGAAAAAATGTGGCTTTCATAATCTCATCACTGTACAGAAAGGATGTCAAACTCACAGCCCACAACAAATATTTTTGCGGCCCGGCCAATGTATCGGCAAATAATAATATATAATAATAAAATAACATATCGACGAAGAAAAAAATGAAATGTTTACTGCTAAGTAATTAACGATAATTTATTCAGTGTTGTTAGATTACTCACAGCGAGCTGACACACACACTACTTAAATTACAAATGCGTGTGATTAGCTTGCGTTCAGCTACCTTCGGCTTTTGGGTGACACGTGCACTCAGAACTTGTATGCATCCCCCGATAGCCGAATGTGGCCGAACTCATGGTATCAGTTTTCCAATCATAGTTTTGTACGATATTGGTGCATGCATGTCCATGCACTTTGCTTTATTATTAATTATTACTTAATTTATATTGTTACGGATTTCATAGTTATTTATTTATTTAGTTTTTTTTTATTTAGAATTGTAATTAGATTTGCTTCATGTTGCCTTAGCAACGCAGACGATTTTTGAAAAGACAGCTGCGTTGGAATAAAAATAGAACAGCGCGTGCATTTAATACCTAATAAATAAATATCTCGTAATTGCTGTTGCCATCCACAAAAATCCAGATATTTATAGATGTTTCCAGTATATTCGAGAAATTAATTATAAAGCTTATAAAAGCCGAGAACAAACAACTCATCTCAGTAGTAGCTGTAGTTCTAGCGAACTGTTTGTTTACTTAATGCTGTGATTGATTTGTAGCGATTTCGCTGTGAGATAGAATTAGTTTCTCTGTTTTGAATTGATTTTTGCTAAACGTTTGACATTTTGTGATATTGTTAGAATATTTTTGAAGAAATATTTCAGCATTTTGATTTATCTCTTGTGGAAAGAATAAATTTTTGTTAACTTTTTAACGTTAACCGTGTTTATTCCAGCCCTTTGTATTCAGTATGTCTATATCAAAACCAAGTGGTAGTAAAATTAAACGAAAAATCGCTGACGAACATAGAATATTCCAAGTAAAATGGGAATTAGAATATTTTTGCTGTGAAATAAAAGATAAAATAATCTGCTTGATATGTAATAATACTATTAATGTACCAAAGTTATATAATATTAAACGTCATTACGAACAACACAAATCGAAATATAACAATTACGAAGGATTAAAGAGAGAAGAAAAGTTGAAAGAGCTCAAGTTAGGAGTGAAAAAGCAACAGTCCATGTTTAGTAAAGTATTGC